ACTTAAAATATCTATGTAAGGTGAAAAAGAGGGTGTAGCAGTCAGACGCAGAAAAGAACTGTTATCTTCCAGCAGTCTGGTGACTGGGGGGATGAACACTGGGAGTGTGTTTGCATCACGCACATCAGCTGGTAGTCTATTCCAAATGACTGAAAACTTATTTAAGAAGAAGTCGTACCACATGTAAGTCTGACAATGCTATATAGCAGCTAGGTTGTGATGATTTCTAAGATTGTAACTGATAACAGCGATAGATTTAGTTATCGGTCTGGAGGAGTGCAAGAGAAGATTAGCTAGCTTGTAGTAGAAAACAAGGTTTAGCCTAGGGCGTCTTTTCCAGAGTGATTCTGTTCTCAGTCCGTCACAACGCTGAGAGTATCCCAGACTACATTCTAAAACAAGAGGTCTTGAGGTAAATCGCCGTTGCACTCTAATTTTAGCTTGCCATCCTGTCACAGTTCGCTTAGAATAAATGGACAGTATCTCAAAATAGGTCGAACATATACTTTGGATAAAAAACCCTAGTTTCACAACAAAAGAAATTGCGAGTTGTGCATCCTAGGAGCCTTCTTGTTTTACATCTAGCATAATCTGTTTGCTCGGAGAAAGGTAAATTCCTAAAGTTTCTGAAACCGAGATCCACGACTGAGTTGAGCTTGACTAGTTTTCACCCATTTACTTCGGGAGTTAGGTCAAGGTTACTGTTGCCGATGCGAATCCAGCCGTATTTGTCAGAGTTAAACTTTAGACATGATTCAGCACACCGTGTTGCGAGACCACTTAGTTAAAGACGTGTTCTACTAGCCAAATCGTTTGATTCTTGACAGTAGCAGGAGTAAACCACTTTGAGGTCGTCAGCACGTAAGAATGGTTCACCTGAGGTGAGGCAGTCACAAATGCTGTTAATGTATACTGTAAATAAAAGTGGTCTTGGGACACTACCTTGCACAACCCCACTCGTGATCTGCCTAGAATGAGACAATAAAGATCCGACTTTGGTTATTTGTACCCAGCTGCTTAGAAGTGACTTTAACCAGTTAAGTAACGGCTTTCGAATTCCACATGAGTACAGCTTCCCAAAGAGAATACTGTGAGATGCCATGTCAAATGCCCTGGCCATATCTAAGTAGAGAACAATGACTAGCTCACATCCTCCGCGACTACTGGCGATGCAGTTGAAAAAATCGAAGTGGCAAGTAACGCAGGACCTAATTTTGAGGAATCCGTGTTGAGACCTTGCAACAAGATCTCCCCATAGTAGATAGTCTGATAATTGGTCATCAGCATTTTTCTCCACAATTCACGAGATAACTGTGGTTATATTTATTGGTCTGTAATTGCGAACGTTTGCCTTATCACCAGATTTGTAATCTGGAATTATGGAGTTAGTTTTCCACTCATCAGGGTAGGTGCCAGTGACCACAGATACTGAGAAGAATTTAAGAAGCAAGAGGGGAATATCACACCCATTGTTTTTGAAAATTATTGAAGCAAGACCATCCGGTCCCTTGCTAGTATAAGGTCCATTAGTTGATTGGGGAACATTATGCTCTTGAGGGAGGAGATGGTAAGGAGTGCGGTCTCGCCAAGGATGTGCGTTTCTAAACTGTTTCAACCCAGTAGGAAAGCAATTCGGAAGGCCCCCACTTGGCAACCTTAAATTTATGCGTTCAAGAAACGCTTCACTAGAAAGACACAAGTTGGCTCGCGTAACAGTTTTTTGGAAGGAAGTTGTTGGACAGTCATAACTAAAGCATGGTTAAAGTGTGGGAGGGCTAGCGCTGAGGTAAAGATTTTGATGGATGCAGTCTTATGAAGTGGCGGAAATAATGGAAGAGTGTAGCTGGACCCAAAGCCTACCTGTGAACGACTGATGTGTCTCATGAGTCAGGTTTATGGCATGAGGAGGAGAAGAATCAGAACAGTTTGACACCCTACGGAATTCACAGTTAAAGGCATTTTGACCTGCAAGTGAGGTATCCATTAACACCACTGAAGGATAATAGGTTGAAACGTCAAACAACATACCAAAACACTCCTTTTAATAGGATTAGCAGTGAGGCAATTCATCGTGTGAACCGTTATTTTAGGATTAACCAGGAAGAAAGCGTTTGCTTAGATCGTCAACTATCATGTAATAAGTGAGAGGATTCTGTCAATGTTATGAGACACTTACGGATAAGGATGCTATGGCAGAAGTGTCAATTTTATCCCCATCTTCTGAGGACATGAACTGAAATACGAATGGTTATAAAATGCAAATATCCAAGTGCCTTTATGTACCACGACTTTTTGCAATAAAGTATTGCCAACGCCTGTGGAAACGAGGGCAGGATGGAAACCAGTGCAAGACGGTTGCCTCATAGGGTTCAATCGTCTGACCTTTCAGGAAACGGTGATTAAAAGTGATGGAGGTATAGTCAGAGCTTGCAAGGGCCATCCTGCAATACTGCAGTCAGTACAGAACACAAATAATCGAGGACTTTTAACTTACAACCAAAAAGTGAGCACAAATGAATGTTTTCAATTTACAATAGAATCAAGAGTGACAGGAGGTCATTTCAGGCTAACCTTGCCAAAAAAAATCATGGTGAACCCAAAAGCTTGTACCGATTCATGTCGGAGAGAAAACTAACCAACCAAGGGGCATGCACCTTAGTCGGTCCAAACGGTCAATGCCTCATTAGTCTGGAGATTGCTGAAACATTCAGTTTAGCCTTCGCCAAACAGTTAAACAGAAATTTGGGTATTATCTGTACGGACCAAAATGGTGGCACTACTGTTTCACCGGAGGAAGACCTAGTGGCTACTCCCCAAATAGTACTAAGGAAGCTACAGAGACGCACACTTAGGAAGTCCTCAGGTTGCGACGACATCAGGCCATCTGTTCTGAAACAGTGCACCGAAGCTCTCTGTGGGTGCTCATGCGACTTGTCCCAACACTCAACAGATTAGGAGAAACTGCCAAGTGAGTGGAAGAGAGCCACTCTTTCTCAGATCTTCAAGGGAAGGGATAAGCAAAATGCCACTAGTTACAGATTAGTAGCCCTATCCCCAGTGGTATCAAAAGTATTGGAAAGGATTATTGATGATGACATCAGTGGGCATCTCGACAGGATTAATAGACTCTATGGGGCCCAACACGGCTTCAGGAAATGCAGTTCCGGTGTAACAAACCAACTATCAGCTTGGGGTGATTGGACATCATGCTGGGATATGAATGTTCCAGTCCGTGTGAGCTTCCTAGACTTTGAGAAGGCATTTGACACAGTTCACCATGAACTTCCCCTACACAAAATAAGTCAGGCAGGTATAGGTAAGCCACTTCTGTCATGGTTAAAGGACTACCTAGCTGAGAGGAAATTTTGCACTAAGATCAATCGAGTCCGATCATCTTGGCACAGCTCGTCATCAGGAGTGTCTCAGAGTTCTATCCTAGTACCACTGATATCTGTTGATTTTTATCAATAATCTACCATGGTGTCTAAGCTGCTGGACTCTTCTCTGAGCTGCCAACGTAAAGATATGGAGGGCAATAAAGTGTCCAGAGGACTCAGATAGACTGCAGGCAGATCTAGAGCTTCTGGAAGACTGGGCGTTGGTCAGTGGCATGACTTTCAACCTGAAAAATTGCAAGGTAGTGAAGTTATGCACCTATAGACTGCAGAATGCAAGTTACACCCTGTGCAATGAAAGCTTGTCCTGCACAATGTTGGAGCGTGAAGTAGGTCTAGTTCTAATGGAGAAAATGGGCACAAGCGTAAATTACATGGGGGATGTAGCGAGGGTATCTGCGGTCATACACTTTACACGTAGACAGTTAGGTGCACTCACTCCTGAGCTCTTTCTAAGGTTGTACAAAACGTGCGTCAGACCACACTCTGAAGTGCATAATATTATTGCACCCCCAATGCTAAGAACAGACGCCAACCTCTTGGAAAGAGTCCAAAGACTGGCAACAAAAGGAGTGGTTGGTCTCCAAAATAAACCATATGATGAAAGGCTAAAGAAATTAGGCTTATTCACACTTAGCTCCCGTCAGCGAAGGGGGGATTTGATTACTGCCTACAAGATAAAAAATAACCAGAATCACCCAAAAAAGGTGTTCTGCCCTTGAGTGGGTATAGGCTTTCTCGGTGAAATCCCAGAAGGATAGCTCACCAGAGGACAAGGAACCGGGTGCGCTCCAACCCTTTTTTTCTCCTACGGGATTGCCGTCCCTGGAGCTCCTTATCGGCAGATGTAGCTACGTCTGTGGACACCTCTAAGCGAAGACTGGACAGTCATGCAGCGACACAAGGACTGCGTCCAATTAGCCAATCCCCTTAAAATCCCATACACCATTCGGGGGTAGACAACTAAATTCGTCCTTTTACTTCTATAATCCTCTCTTCCCTTACTCTCCTGACCACTCCAACTAACACTCTTATTATTATTGATATTATATACATATATATTTGTAAATGTATATATATCAGCTTCAAATTTAACTGACTGTGTTTTTACGTTTTCTTTATTTCTTTTCTTGTCTTTTAGTCTAAATAACCTACACTAATTCGATCTGTTATTATTATCTCTTTCCTTTTGAAGACGATGCTGGAGGGCTAACTGGTGAAAGGAGCAGCAACAATATTAACACACTGCATACTACAAACCACATAATTAATCCCAGCACTACTCCTTTTAGAGTCGACCAAAGCTGAGCCCTAAATAATGCTGGTAAAGAGGAAAGGTTAGGCATGAGGCTAGCAACCCCATCATGTAAAATAAACACTGCTGCAGAAACGTCAAGCCACTAGCTTGAAGCCCTATGTTCCACTGGGGAACGTGAAGGAAAAAAAAGCTACAACAGTTGAGTGGCGGGACGAGTTACGCAGAAGCTTACCGAAGACCAGGAACTTTTACCTTACAATCAAGAAGCAAGCACAAATAAATCGAATTGGTTTATGCTAGCTCGTAAAAACGATATTGGATGTTGGAACTTATATTGTTTTGTTTGTCACATTCTCTGCCGGGAATTTCGTTAGTGCAAGGTGTTTACGCGAGATGCAAGGTCAGGGAAATGCAGAATATTCAGTTATAAAGTCCAAATGTGTTTTTGTCGGTGAACATGGGGGTAATGTTAAATTTGATTGATTAATGAATTCATTGCATTTCATTACTAGTGGGGAAAACATGTATTATTTTGCGATTTATGCACGATACTTTTGATCCTACGTATCACGTTTGTTGAATTTAGTATACTCTTTATAATTAATGCAGGCCACAATAGGAATTGATTTTGTTTCAAAAACCTTGTGTTTTAATGAAAAATCTGTAAGAAGGTGTGTTTATTTTTACATGTTATTCACATCTCAGGTACGTTTACAACTGTGGGATACTGCCGGACAGGAGAGGTAAATCATCCAAGAAAATCTTAATAACACAAAATTTAGGTTTCGCAGCCTTATTCCTAGCTACATAAAGGATTCATCCGTCGCCATTGTTGTATATGACGTAACAAGTAAGAAAATTTGACAGTCACATTGATTTGTAATTTAATAACAAGGAATTACTTGATTAATCAAGTGACGTGATTGCTTATTCGCAGTAATTTGGATATTCATTAGAATATTGTAAACAAGTACCATTCAGGCTGTTTTCCAGATATTAAGCAGTGTAGATTGATGCCTGGTGTTTTGAAGAAGTTCTAGTCACTGACCATATGTGTACAAGAATGATTTTAATGGAAGAGAGTTGAATCCCGGCTGTCGTTACTACAATGGACTACAGGTCAATGGTTTCCAGTCACATATCTTGTTCACTTCCAGCATACGTGTGGTAGAAGCCAGACGAAATAAGATATGTCTGGCTAGATTAACCAGTTTGATCTGATAAGGGTCTTACCTAATGCAGTTTGTCTTAGTTCCCCTATATTTTGAATGAAACATACTTGACGACATAATTTATCTTAATAAAAACAACAATAAATGGTCTTCAAATGTTTGTAAGTCACCGGTAGTGCTACTGGTTAGTTACAGTATACCATCCATTACTGAGCGTATGTTGCCTAATTGTCCAATTAACCAGCGTTCTACTTAACTTGTAAGTACTGGCAACAAAATGCAAATCAAAAAGACTCAGTTATTTAGTAGTGTTTGCCGATGTGCAGTGTATTTGAATAGGATAAGAAGTTAAGGTTATTCTAAAAAAAGATATCAAAACTTATTTAGCTAATGTGGCTGGATTGGTAACTCAGAGAAGGTGCGTGTTAACAGCATACGTGAATAAATCAAAATGGCATTCGGGCGGCCTGTATGTGTATTCGTTAAAACAAAAACTTAAAACGCTGGAACGTGCACAACATGTTTTTCAGAAATGGCTTGCTACTTTTTAATATACTTTATACTCAGCTTTCATTTGTTTCACTTGTGAAAACATGATCGTAATGAAAACCTTCACAGAGATAGTGGCTTGAAGATTTCAATTCTAGCAGGTGAAGGGATATAGAAGTTTACGAGGATCAAGCAGTATACGAACTCAAGTTCTTATTCTCCAGCTACTACAGAACTTGTGTTGCTTTAAACAAAGTTGAGTCAAAACACCAGATTGATTGTCCAAAATACGTTTCGGGATCTGAATCCTAGGGCGATGGTGATTGCTTTGCTAGATAGAGATCGTGCATGAACGGTCAAACGTAACACCACAGCCTACCAGATGGCGTGAATGCCTGACTGCGAACCTTCAGCTTAACAAGTTGACTTAAACAGTGAAGGTCAGCATCCAGTGTTGAATGAAGAATGTTGTAGGTTATTAGTTTTGTGAAATTATTTATCGCTACACACTTTATGGCATATAGTAATACGTTTTCCCTAATTATACGGTCCTATTTAACAAGAGTTTTAGCGAATGCTACTTAGCGCTAGTCATTTCTGGTTCTGAAATGGCTAATCTGTGGTTGTCGGATCAGATTATAGTTACTTACTTTTGTTTAGAAGTCATCAAAAATAGAAGTTTCATACTTAAAAATAGGTAGAAGTTTGTAGCTTATGAATTTATGCTGTCATCTCGCAAAAGTAACAGTGTAGTAACCATGCTTCATGGTGCCTGGCTTATTTTCTCACAGATATGTCTCTGTTCAACGTTTACCTGACTGTTGTTAGCTACCATGCAAGTTATTGAAGAAAGTCTGGTTAGTCTTTACCTCTATGATTCAGTGGCTTACAATGTGTTCAGCAGAATATGAAGTTGGGGAGGCATGTAAGTGAAGGATAGGTTCGCTACATTCTAGACAACTAGCTTGTTGATTTTTGATTAATACTCACTCAGGTTATCATTCTAGAACTTCGGGAATGGATTTCCACATGTTTTAATATGGAGCCTTCTGACATACATTTGAATTTTTTAGGATTACTATGTTTACTCACTATATTAATTTGGAACAGACATAATGTTAAAGGATATAATGAAACATTATTAAAAAGAGTTTGGGTATTGTGGTTGGTATGGAGATTAATAGTGGAGGGAAATCATTCATGTGATGAGTTAGTTATACTTGAGTGCATTACACACTGTGACTCCTGATTGCATGCATTATTATGTTATTCCGGCCAAATGAAATCTCATGACTTGTTCAGTTAGATAACAGTTTAATTGGCAGTGGCCGATAACGTCAAGATTTCATTCAGTTTTAGATATAGGTCGCGTATTGTACAACATAACGCTTAATAGAATTTGTGAAACACAAAGCTATTGGTTTCAGTTTGCTCTTATATTTCAAATTGTTATTGAATGTGACAATTTGGATTAATTATACAAAATGTTACTGTTAATTCGCATAGAAAACAGCTAGTATCAGCGATTGTAATTGGCCCAACAAGTACGATGATATAGAAGTGGAAAATCATTAATGAGCATGTTTAATGCAATTAAATTTTATGATGAAAGGACATTTAGTGGTATTTATTAATTTACAGATAAAAAGAGAACCAAATATTGAGATTAAAAATAAAGTAGTCAAGATATTGTGGAGGTGGAACACTGAATTCTTAGTATTTTAATGTAAAATAAAATGTTTAATATTTTAATCAAATTAATATTTGCAATTCTCTTACATCCAAGGTCGCGAATCCTTTATGAAAGCAAGTGATTGGATAAAAGAAATTCGTGCGGAACGTTCATCGAAAACACTAATATTTCTTGTTGGGAATAAAGTTGATTTAGTTGATGAACGGTAAGTCGTACTTTATAATCACTCATTCAAACAAATAAAGTTTAAAATGTGATGTGTACATAAAAGTTGAAAGTAAAGTTAAACAAGTTTTGTTAATTCCTTACATTTTATTTTTAATTCATGATACAACATTACAGATGTTGTGTGCAACAACTCTTATAATGAGAACAAAAGAAGCAAAATTAGTAGCAGTCCATTTTGATTAGGTGTAGCTTTCTTTTAACGCTGAAAATTCCATTATGTATCACAAGTACTGTTTTTGGAATAAAGTAAATCATTATTATGTAACAGTGCAAGTTTTATGAAATATGAAAAAAAAAATAATATTCAAGTGTTGGTATGCAGGGATTTGATTTGATTGCTTACAGGATTTCATCACGATCTGACACCAGTTAGAGAACCAGTGGAAAACTTTGGACTACTGGACAGCCGTTTTGTCCTAGTTTGGGACTTTTCAATGGTTTTCTAACCAATATCAGTTCATGATGAAATTCTGCAACCAATCAAAATATTACACAATAAAACGATTTGTGAATTATGAGTTTAAGGTAATGTCAGGTGTCATTTAATGATGAAGTGCATTTAAAAACTAAATAAACACAAATTGTTAGTTAGTTTCCTTTGCAGAATTCAAAACTGACCCTTAAAAGTATATCGTTAAACTAATTCCTTGAAAATGTATAAAATTTGTCCTTTTGTTAAGTTAATGCCTAAATTTTATGTCTCTTCAAATTACCTTGGGATTAGTTGATATGAGACTACAACAATAAGTGCTTAACTTTATTCTGTTTGGTATGAGTTGTGTCTTTTCTTTGAATAGCTTCAAGGGATATAATATATTTACTGTAAAAATGTATCTTCCCTTAACTACAAAGATACAAATTACACTGTATTAACTAATGAGTGACTGTATGTCACTCAGGATACATTAGAAACTTTTTCATACTAGATATGTCCTGTAACTTTGTACATGAGACATGTACTAGCTAGCTTGCATTGCTGCTCTTAGACTTCTTAAAACTATGAATCTGGATAAGTTGTTTTGTATTTAAATAAGAAGTGAAATATCTATTTTTAAACCGTTTATAAATGAATTTAAAGAAAATAAAACGATATTATTTCAAAAAGATAAAAGGCTCATACCCCCTGTCTCCATCGAAGAAAATCACTTTACCTTTATTGATTTGTCCACAAAATCGATTAAATATCTGTTTGACGTTTTGTGTGTATTCAGGCTGTTCAACACCGACAACGATTTTCAGGGTTAAAAAAATTATTGGAGAGGCTTCTTATGATATTGATTATTTATGTAGGTGTGTTATTTCTTACGAAAATTGGAATCAACTAAGACAGTCACGTGGCATCAGAAAAACGTTTCAACTCCCGATGCCGATATCTATTAACAGATATGTTGTCTTTTTTATATACGTAGTCAGTATCATGTATCAAAAAAAAACACATCAAGAAATTAATGTTACTCTTCCGAAAGTTTGTTTAATGATTATTTCGTTTCTTTGAAACTGAATACGTGAGACCGTAAATCGTTTAGACAGATTACGATCACTCCTGCTCAACAATAATTAGCAGCCCTATTTTTCCGGCTGATACAACGTCACTGTTTATCCATACATATATATTAATGCAAACGTGAACAATCTGAAGACTTTTAGTTTCAATTACAATACAAATAACAAGAATATTTTTATCGATTTAATTTAAGATGTTGTGACGTTTGACTCAATGAATTTGATATCTTCAGTGTCAACAAAATCAGGAAGTGTTCCTGCAATGCAAAACTGATTGGTGTGGACATTATGCAGAAAATTCTTCATATTATAATGTCTAAGTACATTAGATATATTTTAGCATATAATGAATAGGCTTGATTCTTAGTAAATGACATTTCTGTTATAAATTCTAAGCCCTTTATTTTCTACTTGAATAACTGAATGATGATAGAGCTCTTCAGCAAGTGATATTAGTTCATAGGTGTTGTGTTTAAAGAAAAGGTCAACTAAAATATAACTTAGTACATGTGCTTATACAGTCACTTCTTTTCGTCAGTAATGTCCTCCTTTTAAAAGTTTCCAGCTTTTTACTAAAATCAGGTAGCCACAGAACCGCTGCAAATCACTTTTTAAACTGTTCAAGGGTGTTCACCTACACATTCACACAAAAAAGAAGAATTAATAAGCTTTAGGTTTTTGAGTTAACACTAAACCCTCCTGGTGCATAACTTCGACTTCACAAATCTCTTACTTACTACAATCATCACCAAATGTGAATTTAATTTGACTGCTTGTTAAGGTTTTCAGATTCACAGCAATATGTTTGACCCTCCAAAATAAGTAGACTCAGAGAACTAAAACTCTACTCGATTAAAAGTAATGCAAAGAAAACATTATATTACCTGTCAGGCCGTGGAAAAAATGCAACTACACTCAATTTCCCTGAAATTTTATTCATATTTACAAAATAAAACATATCCACAGTTTGATTCCAGTGAAGAATTGCCAGTACATACATCATCAGTAATATATCTTATAGTAACATCAAGTTATTTATCGAAGACATAACAATATAGTAGTTTAGAATAAATTTCTGTAGAGGGAGGATCGTAGACTTTATTTCTGATGTTAAGAAGACATTTACTATACTGTTTAGCCATTCTTCCTTCCACTCTTTATTTATCCTATTTTCATAAACTCACTGTTACTATTTGGTGGTGTATGTTTACCTGTCAGAATGAGCCAAAGTATTAGTGAGTGTAGTGCGAGAGGTCATTAACTGCTGATTCATTTTATGTGTAAAATGAAGGAAGAAATGTTCAGAAATTGTGAGTGATAAACTCGAAAATTAATGACTGTAATATATCTTTGTGAATTATCTCTACCAACCCTTTATCCAGTTCACTTTCCAAAGAATTAATTAAGATTGGATATTGTGTCAGTCAATGCAACTGTTTTTAGTTATAAAGTAGCTTGAAGTGAAGACGAACAGTAGTATCCATCAGAGAAGTCCACTGTTACCATTTTTATTCGATTCTATTTTAAACGTACCTATGGATTTAATCCTGATTGGCTCCTGAGAGTTTAGTATTGACTTATCAAAAGGGAAGAGTCTTGCTGATCTCAGGTATACAGATAATTCTGTCGTTTTTGGTGAATACGCTGACAAAATTCCAAGTTTTCTGAACAGAAATCTTAGTATGTTTTGTATGTAATTTGCCTGAATCAAATGTAAGCTGATGCTACAGAACTAGTCTGCATCAACTCTTAGTTTAAAAATAGGGAGTGTTTTAACCACTCCACTCATTCTAGGAGTTGTGCCAACCCAATAAACTGACTGGTGACAGAACCCTCACAAAAGGCTGGTGTAGCCTATTCAGACTTACATCATCTCTAGCGTATATTTGATATCCGGTCATCAATCGGAAGATATAAGTTCTGTGCAACGACATTTTTTATGTCTTTGGAATGTGGCTATTAAAAGTGAAACACCTGAACAGCCTAAATGTCTTTGACCGCATATGTTTCTGTTTTGTCTTACGTGTTAAATGGAACAAAACGGTGAGTAACATAAACTTCACACATAGAGTATTATGTAATCAGAGGAAGTCAACTGATGGGGTTGTGAAGTCACATCGATTGAGGTGGCTAAGAAGTTTCCTATGTGTTCCAAGACACTTCGCCTCTCTTTGAGCACTAATAGCTGGAATAGCGTTCTGTTCGAAGAGGGTTAGGGGTGGTCAGGTAGAAACATGTCATCATTCCATGAAATCTTTAAATATTGGTTTCAATCACGTAGGGATTTATGGGAATCCTGATTTGCGTCTTCCAAACACTAAGTACATTTGGTACTATCCGGTGGTGCAGATATATATTAGCTTTTTTAATCAACATTCAGATCTGGAAAATCCTCAGTAATTATCATCTAATTATTTTTTTTCTGTCACTCAACTTCTTTCCTCGTAGTTTCATAACACTCATTTTCCCCACCTTTACTTGTGCTTCTGCAAAGTGCAGCAACTTGGTCTTATGCATTTCTGTGCAGATTTTGATGCTGATAAGTTGGCTAGTTGTTTCACTTATTTATTTTAATCAGTATAATTACAATAACTCATTGTTATTGCATTTCAGGCCCATTTTAAAATACAAAAATTACTTGCCATAAAAACTGCAATAAATAGTACACCAATTTTTAAATCTTACTTTGAAATAGCTGCAAATTTTTACTAAAGACTACGCAGAAAGCTTTAGAAGGTATTTGAAGAAGCAACTTCCCGCACATCCTGGTGAATGTATAACAAATGAATGAAATCAAAATCACTTGTTACTAGGTGGTTATTACGATCACACAAATAAGACTTTTTGTTTTAAGCGTAAGAATGTTTCACATTATTGTAAATGAAGTTTTTATAATCTCAGTGCCACCAAAAAGATAGATTGATGTTTAAAAAAACACTGTTGCCATCAAAACAGGGGTATTAGAGAAAACAAGAAGTTCAGTGAAGACAGATTTTCAATGATTTCATTTCCACTCCCTGTAGTTACACAAAATTACAAGTTTATACATTCTTGTTCTACGAGATGATATAAGAAACTGAAGAATAAACTCTCACATCTGACCTTTAGAATATAATTAAATCACTTCGTCTGCTGCTGTTGAATTAGTCGTATAATTTGCTGTATGCGCGTTCTTTCAAAGTGAGGTACAGGACACAACCCAGAGGCTTTAGGATAGAACATCTGGTCAACACTAATCGTTTCTAACCATTTACAGTGTTAGAAAATTTCCATCATATATTATGCTTCCTATTGATTTGCATGGTAAAAGCCCCTTCAATACGCATGTAAAAAATGGCGTTATGTACACTAAAGAGAATTAGTTTTGTTCGCTTGGCATTCTTTTGTTTTCAGTTTCTTCCCTCATCTCATATTGTCATTTTCAGTAACCTGCAGTTAAAGAGAACTAAATAATCGAAAATATCTCTTCCCTAGAACTGTTTTTTTAAAGAAATTTTATCTCAATGGGCACTTTTGATATACTGATGGCACCAGAGTGTGTACACTTGACTTTGTTCGTAAGTTACGGAGATAAAGGGCCCCCGGAAGTAAAAAACATAAAAAAAACACTGGAGTTTTTTAAGTACAAGTTTTGTTCTTCAAGTGATTATGTAGGATGAAGCAAAACTTTAATTAATGGTGAAGTGAAAGGTTAAATGTATATATTGGAGGAAAGTCAGTCTACGAGGCTGTAAATCTTCACCGATTAAGGTGAATGGCTGGTAGATATTTTAAGTCAGTCAGATAAACTTATCTAATGTGATATAAGAAATTTTGGTTGTTGATCTCATGCCAAGCAACACTGAATTTGAAGTTTAATCTGAGAATTATTTAAATAGTACTCAAATCACTTTCCTAACCAACAAAGTCATTAATTTATGATTCGAAGAATGAAATCTATTCTCAAATACCCATCTATCTATCTATCTATCTATCTATCTATCTATCTATCTATCTATCTATCTATCTATCTATCTATCTATCTATCTATCTATCTATCTATCTATCTATCTATCTATCTATCTATCTATCTATCTATCTATCTATCTATCTATCTATCTATCTATCTATCTATCTATCTATCTATCTATCTATCTATCTATCTATCTATCTATCTATCTATCTGTCTATCTATCTATCTATCTATCTATCTATCTATCTATCTATCTTCCTGTCTCTCTGTCTTCCTCTCCATAAATGTATATATATATATATATACCTTCAATGTAAGCTTATTCCTTCAGCGATTTTTTCCACTGAGATTTTCCCATGATTTGAATTCCTTTGGTTAGTTTGTATTTTAGTGGTTCATGTCTTTTAACTTCAACTATTTTACAGTAAATTTATATTCTGAGTTTCTCAGGTTTGTACAAACTGTACGATGTCTCTCACAAATGTTTAGCATCGTTTACTAAGTTGCTCCATCAAATTGAAAATATCGAATTTCTCCATTGCTCATTAGGCAGATATTTCACTATTTTTATTAAGCTCCATTTAGTATTGCTGAAATGTTTTATGACGCTAATAAAATGACTGAATAGGGCGAAATACAGTCAGTTTAGCTTACTCATTAATAATACTGTGAACAGTCGTAGATATAGAGCATTTAAAAGAGAGAAAATGTAAATACAAGCGTGGAGGTTAATCGAGTAAATGTTAATGGAAGTTTTTGAAGTTTCAAAGATAATAAATGAGTACATCTACACCATGTCGAACAACTTCAAGCGAAGTCACTGAGTACGGCTAAAAAAAATCAATTTTTTTATCATGAGTACTCCAACTAAGAGACTTACACTTTTGTACATGGTTCATATTAGTAGTCGAAGACTTTGTCTTTTGACTCTGTGTTTTAATGCAGCTACTTGCGGGATTTATACGACATAATTCCACTTAGTATCACTTATCGAGAAAGTCTTAGAATGTACAATATCTGAAACTAACCAATGTATTTCACTTTCCGGACTCGTAGGCTAGAGGTTTACGTGCTCAGTAATCAGCTAATGGGTCATGGATTAGAACACTGTTCTATCTACTGAGATATAGGAAGTTCCCAAATATAAATTGTGACACACCAGTTAACGTGCATAAATTCGAATGGTTGTTGAGTAACATAAACCTAAACTTAATAAAAGATCAGTGATATAAATATAATATATATTTTAAAAATTTTTAAATCATTTTCTCTTCCATGTGTTCAGTGTTATATCAACTGAAGAGGCTGCTGAGAAAGCTGAGAAAGAACACTTATTCTTCGTTGAAACAAGTGCGAAAACAGATTTCCAAATAAAAAAAGTGAGTCAGCAAGTCAGCTAAATTGTAGTTTTTCTAACTCTATTTCCTTACGAATTTTGCTGTGGACTGTATTTATTGAGAGTAAGGTGTTACTAAACTTATAGAATGATTTCATACTGTTTTTATGACTTCTACATCATTCTCTGGATACGCATTGTGTTGACTAGTTGATTAAACTGGAAATTAATAATGACTTCGAAAACGGAAAGACCGCAATTGATAACACAAAAAATAGAGATAGAAGCTTGCTTAATTTTCCACTTATAGATTATTATTATTATTGTTCATTCCCTGAATCTTCAATGTGACATAATGTCTTAGATACACAACTCCATTCAACTCGTTCTTGTACTATCACTCTCAAGGGGCTTCACGACTGTTCATAAGCTTATAGTTCCTCCAAGGATGATCTCCTTCATGCCACATCCGGACCCCGCCCAACTAGCCGCTTCCCATCCTGGTTCCACTCGTTGGTCTGCCTGGTGTGTGATGTCACTCAACAGTCGTCTCAGCGTATCCTCTATCTACCTCCGTTTCCTTCTACATATTTATTGAGTAATAAGTTCTTGGTTGATTTACTGTCGGACTTCCTTATTGCGTATATTCACTGGCCAGTTAACTGATCTTCACTGTTGAAACAAAAAGGCAGCTGAGGGTTCATGAAAGTATGTAGCCCTTTGGAAATGATTCCAGTGACTCGTAAGCCACTTCTGTGAATCATACAGATACAGTCACTGACAATAATGTTAACAATTTGTATCTTGTTCATTATGCCAAGTGCTATCTGTACACCTCCATGCTGATTTAGAGTAGTTGGAGTTTGTCTTACTTTCCCGATTCCGACTGGCTTTGACATCCTTACCCATGCTGCTGACTGTAATTCAAAGGATTTCACGCGGGCAAGTGAAAGAGATGAATTTCTTTCTTCTTCACACTTATGTACCTTCTAGTATGTGTGACATGCGACAAAAATCATCCATGAAATGCAGACATCCACTTTACTTCGGAGACAGAATCAGATTTTGGCAAACTACCATTTCTAGACTGCCTAGTTAAGAGGAGAGAAAATGGATATTTTAAAATATCTATATTCAGGAAGAAAACACACGCCAACAAATATTTAGACCTAGATTCATCACACCCCATCAGCGCGAAGGCATCGGATGTTCCAAGTCTTCTTAGTTGCGTACACTCTTTGATAACAGATGGGAAGGAAACGAAGAAGAAATATCAAAAATTACTGAGACTCTCAAGAAAAATAATTACCCAAAGAACTTCATCAGCAAAATCAGTACCGACATTAAATATGGTCGAAAACGTATTCGGAAGACATGGGCCTCAGCAGTTGTCATTCCATATAGATTAGAGACGTCAGACGACATCAGAAGAGTACTCAATAAGCACAACATCAGAGTTTTCTTCAAAACATCAGACACACTACTAAACAACCTTGTCCATGTAGAAGATAAAATCCCTAAGGGTTCTCATTCTGATTGTATCTGCAAAATAAAATGCTTGGAATGTGATGTGATATACATCGGACAAACATCGCGATTGATCAAAATTAGAAGAAATGAACACCATAGAGCATCTGTTCGACCACTGAGAAATGCAGTTGAACTGAAATCGCTTGAAAAATCATCAGCCATAGGTCTACACGCTATAGAATCAGGCCACAAAATTGATTTTGACAATGCTGAAATGATCTAGAAAAACTTCAGAGATCACAAAGAACGTCTAATATCGGAGGCACTTGATATCAAGTAGAACCCAAATTGGCTGAATAGGAATGATGGACTAAAACAGAATTTGACCTGGTTACAACACCCACTCCCTTGAAATGAAAGAAGTCAACACGAATATGACAAGCAATTTCATTATGTAAATACATGCTGTTTTTATGATTTTACACACTTATCAAATCCAACAATCTGCACATCGTATTTTTATCTTTAAAAATTGACCAACTTGACAACGCAAAATTACTAACTGCTGATGAATGATGATTAAAGTGAGATTATGTAAATTCCGGTTTCATCATACTTTGGTAAAGCAGTTAGCATTAAGCAGAGAAACGTCAGTGAAAACAATATCGTTTGTTTTTCATTCATTCGGAAATACAAAATATTTTAAAATAATGAATATAAATACACAATGCCCAAATTCTCTCAGTGTTGAAAGTGAACTTGCTTAGGGCATATATATAAAATCTTTTGGTCTCTCTATGATGATACAGATTCATGTTTTGTTGGAAGTGAAAAATAGCATGATATTAAGCTAGTGCTAGCATGGCCTTATGTCACCCTTTTTTGGCAGTTTGACAAAGTAGCCTTTCTTCCATTCAGCACCTACATTTTCATTCTTCCAATCCTTCAGCAATAGTGGCGCGAACATGTCCCTTGACGTTTCTGGGTGCATTTCCATGGCTTCCGGTGGAGGCGGGTGGGATAGCATCTAGTCCTGCTGGTTTCGCCACTGGCTTTCAGTAAGTAAGCTTTCGGCCTTCAAGACTTCTCCTTTCCTCAGCTACTTGTTGTTCACTCGTAGTTCTGTGTGTTTGTCTCTTCGTCTCGGTGATATTTGTGAGCGAGTAGCATGTGATAGTGGATTGGAGAGTGGTTTGAGGTGATCAGCTTAGCGTCTCCTCTGTTCCACTCCTTTGCTGATTGGATTTGCTTCATTATCTGTCACTGGCTTCATCTGCGTCCATCTCTTCCCGGATAGCCACCCTGTTTTTATTTGTTTGATATAGTCTTCTCAGGTTTGTGTCACTTGCAGCCAGTTGTGCTTCACTTGCTGGTGCGTCGTAGAGGTGTTTTTGTCCTCCCTAGCACTCTTCTTCACGTCTTCGTACAGTGTGCTGCAGATATTATACTCGGCTTCTGCTCTCCTTCTTCATCTCTTCACTGCTTCATCCTCCACTTGACTATTCTTCTCTCGTGTATCAGACAGATTCCAGGTATCCGTGGTGAGCCACTTCTTGTCCTGCCCCTTCTTCTTGTCACCCATCATGTCTGTCTATACTGGTTTCTGTCCAGGTCGCCTACAGAGAGCTGCACTCTTCCTCCACGCAGGTTTCCTAGCTGATGTTCCCGAACCTCTCTGACTTTACACTTACAGCTACTTAAGAAGAAAATTTAGAGTTTATTAAGCGAATTACAATAAATGTTGTAGAAGGAAAATTTTTTTTGATATTTAGTAGTGAGGTAATGAATGCAACTAGGGTGAGGTAAATGCCCATAGACTAAATGTATAAAGTAAAATGGGTAACTATAGTCAAATTAAATTATTTTTTATGGTTAATTTTGAAGTGGCCAAAGCTTCCTTTTTCGTCCCAATTCCACATCTAAGTTGATTCATATATTTGAATGCCACTCTGATATCAGTCCTGTTCACGATTCTACAGTATTGCTAAAAAGGCCTTAGATTCGTTTCTAATCACATTGTGATCACTACTTATGCCACTTTTTTATGTCAGTCTTTGTAAATTTCAATGAATTCCTATAGTCAACTACTTACTAATATTGTTATAGTTATCTGCCGGATTTCTTTCTTTACTGTGTATGTACGTGCATACGATCACAAAATAGAGTGGGACAGGGCAGGGTGGCGGTCTCATGAAGTAATATATTTGGGTGGGCGAGGGGGGAGGTAAATCATTGGCTATTTATCCGTTGAATCAACACCCAGCATGCCCTCTGAAAATAACACAGGACTAATCTCGGACATATGAAAAACTCTGCTGGAGAAAAACAAAGTATAAAGCAAGTTAGGAAGTTGTGTGACTATACTTATATAATTCCAGGCAGTAAGGTTCGGTCGAAATGTTATCCTACTATCACTGTGTACTAAACTGACGGCTTCAATAGCTTTCACTGTTTACTAGACCTGAGACAAGCTGGAAAGGCGAAGAGGTTGTCGATCCATGGCGTCTCACCTGGGGATGCAGGATTTATGTATTGGATTAGCATCTGTCTGTACATTACAACTCTCCAAGTAGCTTTTGAAGGATCATGCAACTCAGTGTGACTCTAGATGTTATAAAACAATGACTGAAAATCAAAACCAGCAGTAAAAATGCTACAATTTCCTTGCTTTTATGAGTTATGTGTAATAAACACAAATCATCTCTGACTATTCTTCATGAGCCTGGATACCTATTTTCTTTTTCTTTTTTTATACTGCTATCTTGTTATTTTGTGTGTGATACACATCTTGTACCAAGTTTTCGTTGCAAATAAACATTTCACTAAGAAGCGCCGGTCGCTGAGACATACATAATGCTTGTGAGTGTCAAAAATAGATGAAAATCGATAACAATTAAGACAGATTGTTTCAGATTAAATTGTCAGTTCATTATTGAGTAGAAGTGAATCTTGTTTGATACATCTAATTAATCAAGAGATACACTCATTCTTAGCTTAACTTATTTTCTTCTTAATTGAAATACCAATTTATGGTCGATTTACTTTCTCATTTCTGTACTGTCATGATAAAGATTTATGTTTCAAGTTGACAAATTCTTTTGCAGAATATCATTTATTATTATATTATTAGTCCTTCCTTGAGCTCTGAATGGGACATAGGTCTTCAGCTGCACATCCTCATAGTATTCGCTTCTCTGCTACAGTTCTTATCTGGCTTTGCTACTGCTCACAAGTTGACATTTCTTCTAAACACAATCTTCTTTATAGCACTTTCAGACGCTCGCCCAGTTGCTTTCACTCGATGGCTTTCTTGATGTGTGGTGTCACTTGAAGATCTCGTCACCATTTATCCAATTCATCATTTGGATTATTTAGGTCTATTTACTTTATTGTCTTCAGGAGATTTATTGTACCCGAGGAAATAGAATTCCACGATGCATTCCATTTTTAACGTAACTCTGTCTTGCATAACTGCTGGAAGGTGAATGAAAGATTTATTATTTCAAGCAGTGTTAATGTACTAATGTAAGTGTAGAATTTGGACATTATGGTAGAATGTAATCCCATATTAACACACACTCATACAGAATTGATAACTGGGCACAAGTCATTGCTCACAATCACATCAGTGTATGCACACAGCTTCATAATTTGCTTTATATACATATATATATTCTCTTCTCCTTGTTATTCATTATAATTTTCCATATCTCCGGTGTGGGTTTTACGTCATTTCGACTCCATGTGTTTAGTGTTGATCCGATGAATAAAGATTTAGTGATTGACCTTTCTATCTCTCCAGCTAACTATATTAGTTTTTAATATTTTTACTCTATTCCACCCTGTTGTGTGATTACAAGTCAGTGAATTCATTACGGTGGCTGAGCTGTTTTTCAGATTATTTAACTTATCCGGACCAGTCTAAATTGAACTCACAGTTATTGCATGGTATTTGGTAAATTATAATATTTTTGCTGAATCGGACCTACTGGGTCCTTCGGTCGACAGAGTTTATCTCTGAGAGAGTTGGTTAATTTAAATACCACCCTAATTCTAGCTTCATTAGGAACCCTATGTAGGGTCTCGGGTGTTTCTTCTTCATAAGGCAGTACTACAGAGGCTTTGAATTCCTAGCTATTTATGGTATTTTCATTATTAACGTTTACACTCTTATTCTTCTTGTGACTATCTATACATTTCTGAATAAAATCTGTTGGGTGGTTAGTTATTCCATAGTAACGTTTTCTTTGTTTGCTTTATTTAAAGGCTTTATATAAATCAAATTATGAATCCATGTGAATACACTAATATGATTATCAGCAATGAATTGCGCTCAATTATCATTACTGTATGAGTGTGTGTCATTTAAAATAAACTTATTTTAATATGGGATTACATTCTACCACAATGCCCGAATTCTACGCTCACATTAACGATAGCAAGCGACTGACATGATTTCTTTAACCCAGTGGATGTTATCCGGATAGAACAATCCTTCACACTAAGGTTCGCTTTATCCACTTCGACGACAGGCAAACAGTATAATGCATGGAGGATGTTTGCTTTAAATTTCTAACACATGAAAGCCACTGCTGTTAATGTCTAGAGGTCATCATTTACTAAAATAAGGTTTGCACATCGTTTTAACACGTACCACTTGACTTCCCAACTAATTATTGAATGTTTTCGGTGCTACTGGAGTAAGGATAATGAAAGGAATCAATAGGGCGGAATAATTATGATAAAGATTGGAAAGCGCCTAAAATAAAAAGGACTGTCATACACCATACTTGTTCTCTTCACACTACTTAAAAGGCTTCTTGTTACATGAGGTTTATTTATATAACGCTTACAAAACATTGAAGAGTTTCTCAAGGACTCTCTAATCCGACAGAGAGCCCTACAGGAAAATGTTTCCAAAATAGTTTGAAACAGCCTATCTACCAAGAAATATGACAAATACAAATGTAACTTTAGACATTTTAACGCTTCTAATCAGGTCACGTATGGCCTATCTCAAGCAGATGTCATTCGGACTGTTTAACTGCAGTGGACTAGTCTGTTTCCGTTCCAATCACACTATGGTGTAGGTAGCTCAGTGAAACCAGTTACACATCTCCCTTCATCATCATCTTTTTCATCCACCAGTCTATACCACTTGCACTTACTTTTAAAATTATACTGAATATACTCACTTGATCTCTTGATTGTACAATTACTTCTAACAGCTTAAGCTTGTGAAACTCTAATACCAGTTTTTAAAAATGATTCTACAACTTCGTATTATAGCTTGGAATGTGTAAACTCTATGTTGAAAGAAACAATAGGCATCAGTAGACTTCCCTATTTTACATTCTATTATAAGTGTGTCTTGTATCACTGAGATTTCCGAACATAATTTTATTTCACTTAACTCCACTGAGTTAACACGGTGCATTTTCAGGACTGACACTACGTATACCAGGAGTTTATACGTCTACTTCCTGGAGTCTTGACGATGCAGTAATAGAATCACGTGCCACAGCAGGAAGTTGCCTGCTAGACTGGATCTCAACGGACAGTAGTCGATGTGTTCGTAGGCTAGCTGAGTGAGTAAAATAAAAGGAGGTTCTCGGTATTTATTAGCACTTTTCCGCAGTCTATGCCCATTCACCTTCTGAGTGAAGCGTAATAGCAAATGGTTAGCGGTAATAAGTAAACATCCTATGTTGAGTTTCTAATACTAAAATTGATCTGGAACAGATTAGCACCCGATTATCTCTGTGCATAACATTTGTTACCTGTTTAAAAACGTTTGGATTGACGATTGACAGTGAACTTTCGGCATACAAATTCTTCTAACCAATCTAATTATTTAATGATTAAAAAGTAGCCTTATCATTATGTGGGGTGTATGGAACGTTTTATGGCTGTTGAGTACTTTCACTTCCCAAAAAAGCAGTCAGGAAGCACTGAGCTTTAGGATAGCAAATACAAAGAGAGTAGGACAATAGGACTGTTTTTCTAAGTTTCCCGTCCAAAATTTCGGGTTCTTAAATGTCATTGTCTATCTCTCAAATCGGTTCAATTCTGTAGTGTCGTGAGTGATGCTGAACATCTTTCCACTGTTACACATCTGTATCATGTCAATACACTACTAGACGAAGGTATAGTAAAGGTGATACAGAATATAAACAAAAGTTTGACTTTTGCAATGAATTACAATTTAGTATGAAGCGTGTAAGCAATACGTATCAAATTGTTACAGATAAGTAGTCATATCTGCAACACTAATTGCTTTTAGAATATCCATTTTATCCAACAGGATTCGACAGATCAGTATTCTATGTTAGGTGGCTTACTTCTCATTTTGATAAGGCATTTAAATATATCTCTTAATAATTCAGTGCAGCATGCTAATATGATGCTGTTAAGAAGAAAGCATCTTTATTACAACTTATAAAAGTATTTCATTGCTTTCGAAGTGAGAATAAATGTAAACGTCAGTGCTTACATAAATTGTAGTGACAGGTAAATTCTATTGAATTTCGTTCTGCACAATTGTTGATTGTTTTCTTCAGTTCTCCTGATCTGACGATATTCATGCCGTGTGTTTAATTAATAGTAATAGTAATAATATTAATGTGAAGAAGAAGCTTTTTTATGGAAGAATAAATTCATCTCTTGTTCTTTTGTATTCATCATTCTGTTGCTATTGTTGTTGTTTTTGTTGTTGCTATAATTATTATTGTTGTTTCATTGTCACAATCAATTTAGTTGTATTGCAATAGAATCTCTCATTTTATGTAATTTCTTTAATCACTTTCATTGGTTATCATCTTCACCTAGTTTTCTTTTACTTTTTCCTTTAGTTATTTGATGAAGTTGTGGAAGAGATTGTAAAGAGTACACATACTTCAGATGAAAATGGACGTATCCTTTGATGTGTGTTACTTTTTGATTCAAATTTTAAAAAATGCTCATCATCAGTTGGAGATAATAAAATGCTGCGGTGGTTCACTGGTAGAATACCTGTCAAACACAAACGTGGTCCGGAATTCGATTCCCTGCGGACTTACTCCATAACCTCATCTAGTTTTTTAGCCTATAGTAATTCAGAAGAAGAGGAAAGATCGGGGATGTGAGGCTAGCGAAATCATCTGGTAAAAACAATGACCTCACCGCTACCGAAACTCTACAACTCAAACTGGAAAACCTATGGTTCCACTTAGACACCAAAAGAATGAAAGAAGATCGAAGACAATAGAGAAAAGTAGATAAATTTTGTCTATTAAAATTAAGACTAACTAAATAGAAAAGTTGAATAAAGTCTTATCATTTCCACGTAACAAATCGTGAGTAGTCTTCGCCAGGTCAAATTAGCTAGAAACCACAAAGTACTGTACACAATAAGTCTGGAGAATTCTTTTCGTAAAGGCTAGAAGATCACATCGCTTCTAGTTTTTAATTCATTAATTCTGTCAATTTTGCTTCATTAAATTGATTTACAGATTGCAAATATCACACTAAAATTTTCCACATCATTTAAGAAAAAAGAGCACTGTTGGTCACCTTTGAACTATTTTAAAAGCTGCGCTTTAATACAAAGAAAGAGAGTTAAGCGTTTCATCTAATCTGACGCTCAGCTAAAAACAAACTCAATGTTTGGTTTATTTAACCTTATTCGCCAAAATCTTGAAAAATTAAATCGGTGCTATCTGCTTAACAGTAACAGTATTATGCAGGCAGTACTTCAAATGTTCCCTTGATATATACATATAACACCTTGTCATCTCCTTAAAAGAGAGTACTTAAAATACCTTACACCTTATTTCAGTAAAGTTTCAAGTGATTTACTGCCGTAATAAAAAGCCCTTGGTATTTTAGGCAGAGACAGTCAGCCGGAATTATTTAATTGATGTTATGGCTAACTGAGCTAGTCTGACAGATAAAATAACCAATGTGCTCCAAATGACTTTTTTCCCAATAATTAGTACATTTATCCTTCAAGGATATTTTTGTATCAGTTAGGTACAAAACAGTTGGCGCCTTCAAGCAAACGTTCACTACTACCATACTGGAGTGCTGCAGTAGGCGACAAGGGGTTGTACCGGCACCTTGCTACTGGTTGTGGACAATCATGTAAACCAATTCAGTCAATTTAGCCTTAATGTGTGAGATTAGTTATGTAAATCAGGAGTATTCTGAATTATACTTACATAATGTATTGAGAGAAAATGTTTAAAAAATCTTCAAATAATAGAAATTCCGAAAACGGTAGTTAATCTGAACACTCATAAATAACCTGAATACTTTTTACTATTTATTATCATCAACACTATAACTCTAATTATCTCACATACAAGTCGATAAGTTAGTTCAGATTTAAAAGATCAAAATCCTGATTTAAAAATTCACAAATAGTGGTGCGCAGCCAGTATATATATGCTCTAAAAAATGTTACTTACTGGTGCATGTAGTGTGCTTAAAACACTTGTACGTGTATATGTGTTCATCAGTACTTTCAACAGCTTACCTCACACACACACACACACGCACACACAAGTAGAATCAAAGTAAAAATACACAACAGTGCTGTTATTATTTTATGCTTTGAATTCAGTTTGTTTGCCTGTCTTCTCTTTTTGCATAAAAAGAATATTTCTGAGCAGATCTTTTATGTAAGGTAGATTATTTATTGATCAAGTAAATATTTAACTAAATTACTGCTCAAATAAATAGTAGTGAATGTCATTATATATATATAGTACAGTTAACATGAAAACCTTTTTAACTTTTATTAGTATGTGAGCTAACAGTTACATGCTTATAGTTGAACTATAGAGTAAATTGTTGGGGTTGAACACAGTGTGTCAGTTGAGGAAGTTTACTTAATTGTTGAGGTTATAAATGTTAACTGACTGAAATATTGTTACAGATCATCATGAGCTGACATCAGTTAGAGAACCATTGGAAAACCTGCAAACCAACACTTGAAAATCAATGAGATGCTCACTAGCGACTTGCCCTATTCAGGTGGGTAGTCACCTGGGGTTCTAGTGAGAAGTCGTGACCAGTAGGGTGCAGCAGGTCGGGCGTGAGGACAAATACTCGCCGAAGACATTGGCTAGGGGTCGCGCTATGTCGTGAATTGGCAGAAGTTAGAATTCATGGACCATTGGATCGGGTCCCAGTGGCTTAATGGTATACGAGCTCGCCTTGTAACCAGAAGGTCCTGGGTTCGAATCCCGGTGGGTGCGTACTGCTGAAGAGTCCCAAACTAGGACGAAACAGCTGTCCAGTACTCCCAGGTTTTCCAATGGTTCTCTAACTGATGTCAGCTCATGATGAAATCCTGTAACCAATCAAATCCCTACAAACCAACACTTGAAATATTGTTATTTACTTTCTTGGCAAAATTTAGGCTAGGATAGAGTTACGTTGGACAGATAACTCATGACATGATACCAATGTATAAGGTTATTGACTATTGGGCTAAGGTGTGGAGAGAAGTGTAAAATTACAAATACACTGTGATCGACTGTAAATGACATGACACTATGGCAGATATATTCACCTTTCACCTTTATTCATTTATTCTCTTTCTTTTCATATTTGTCACTTTTATGTCCAATTTCTGTTTGTTTGTGGTTGCTTTCAATTATGGCAACTTTAAATTAATACCCTTCTATGATAGCCTACTAGACGATGGATGGTTTATGCCTCTAATGTGGGTTCATTTACATATCAACAGTGATAGCACTATTAAAGAAGGAAACTCTTCTGAAATGTTAGGCGACTCAACTTGTATGAAGCTTTGATAAAGTCACGTGTAGGTAATTGTGCAATCTTTGTAAACAATATATCTTGCACGTTTAAAAGGTCTAATTTGATTAAGTAGATATTCTTTAAAGTAGATACTTTTTTTAAAAAAAGGACATATCAACAACACCTAACTTCAAATTTAATCATGAAATATCTCACAAGTTCATTAGTCTAGTTGTACTTATTAATCAGCATTTTCTAAGTAAGAATTTTAGTATTTCTTACTGGTATTCACTAGACCAGACATGTTTGACTATCTTTCACCTTATGAATCACATACCTGAGAATAGCATCATTGTGCATAACCAGTTCACTTCACTGCCTAGTTAACAAACCTACTCATTTTTGGTGACCTGATTCCTTCAAATGACAATTATGTCGTGGAGATGGATGAGGGAAGAATTATACCTTCTTAGTAAAATAAACAGTACAGTAATCTAATAGGGTAAAAAGTAATTTAGCCAATGTTGAATTGAATTCTGAAGTTATCATTTATTGCAATATATATATATATATATATATATATATATGTATATCGGAGACTACCCAGCTATTTCCTTCACTACTCAATGATCACATGACATTTCTTCATATCTTTGTGCAATGTATTGGTCCTGTCGACTATGAACTATTCAATTGAATCGAACAGATTTATCTGATAATATTGAATTACATGAAGAAAGCAAAGGATGGAAATGCTGGTGCTTTTAAAGTAATTTACATTGAACTGCCTTAACTGGTGTATATCTTTACTTAAATATATTACACAAAATATCACTTTGAAATTTAATTTCTGTAAGTGACTGCTGAATACAGCTCAAATAGTAGTTTTTAAAGAAAAGATAATACCTTCTATTACTAACTTTTTCAAAATGTAAATCATTACTGATGATTGGATACATATATATATTGACAAATTATTCAGTTACTTTGATCATGTAGAGGAGATGTGTAAACAAAACAAAAGAAAACTGAACGTTCAATAATGATCATAACAACATGTTTTAAATTTACTTATTTTTCCATTTTCTACAACTCTTTTTGTTTTGCATTCTTCTTTTTATCCACGTATTGTGCTCAGAAGATGAATTTTATTCGGCTACTAATTACATATTTTATTTCCTTTCTTGCCTTATTGCCTTCCAGCTTCTCTTTTCCCTTGTATTCGGACGAATTGTTAGATTCCCTTTCACTTCATCCCGCAAAATAGTGACCATTAAATGTATTTTCAGTTAACTGAAGGTTTTTCAATTGTATTGTTCTGCTACTCTGTTTATAACATTCTTTTCAGAAAATAAACTTTTCGTATATTACAGTATGTTACTTGAATTATTGTTTGCGCTGGTCACGGGATTTTCAGACTTTAGTGAGCACTGATAACTAGACGGTTAGAAATATACTAGTTATCTTCCTACGGTCAGTTGGTGCTTATACACCATTCCCAGCGTAGGGTTGTAGTATAACAGTTTCCTTGCTTCCTCCAGTTTGCTATATGGTGTAATCATTATCCAATGCAATTATTAAGCAGCTGTGTTAATACACAATTTCTGTCAAAGGTGTGATTGCACAGTAGTGAAGAGACTCAAACTCACGCGGATATGCAGTCCATTACTTCTTTAGTTGGTGTCAAAGTTTACCTTGATGATTGTTATATGTTTGCTATCAGTATAACTACTGTAGAGCTTTGCAGGATTGTTTTAAGGAAAATAATTTCTAGGCAATGTCTTGCGTTTTTTCCGTACCTAATATTATTATTATTGTATCCTTTAATTCCTACAGGAACATAGGGCTTCAGCCGTGCGTCTCCATTGCGTCCTGTTCTCTGCTAGAGTCTTCATCTGGCTCCATGTCTGCCCACACGTTCTCATCTCCTCTTCACATGACCTCCTCCAAGTCACCCTTGGACGACCAACTCGCCGCTTCCCTTTCGAGTTCCACTCAAGGGCTTGTCTAGTGATGTACCTAATAGATAAGTATATTTTAAAATAATTGTAGCTCAGGAGTTCAATTTTGAATAAATTGCATTCTCTAAACTGATGGATTTAATTGCGAAGCTTTCAGAGTCCTTCTAGACAACATCGATTCAGCCCAGGTTGTAGTTAGAAATGGACTTATTTCAATTCTCCATGAATGATATAATTGTATCTCCTGGCAACCATTATCGTGCCTGGTTTTTGTTTTACGTCTCAATTGATCATTTTTGTTCGCTTGAAATTTGAAAAAAAGGAGATAAAATTAATACCATTTACAAAATAAATTGTATGAATTGTTACAGACATTACATCGGCCAAAGTGGGACTCCCCTTCGAATCGGAATCCAAGAACACAAAGTGGCTATAAAAAAAGACATGATGTATATTCTTTCGTATCAGTGCATGTGGATAATTATGGACATCAATGTGATTGGGATAATGTAGAAATTTCAAATAGAGAAAACACTAAAAATACTTCAAGGGAATTTCTAGGAGCCTGGTACTCAAGTGAATTAGCAGTTAACACATACATACATTATTATTATGGCTGATTAAAAATGCCCATTAGAATTTTTCAAAATAAAGGTTACATAATTATAGACCAAATTTACCATATAATAAAAAGCAAATCACATGACAAGAAAGTTCGAATTCCAAGTTAGCGAAAATGATCAACTGAGACGTAAATCAAAAACCAGACACGATAATGGTTGCCAGGAGATACAGTTACATCATTCATGGAGAATTTAAATAAGTCCATTCCATACTGGACTGAAGCGATGTTGTTTAGAAGGACGATGAAAGCTTCTCAATCAAATCAACCAGTTCGGAGAACACTACTTAGTCCAATGGTATATTTTAAAGTACAAATCCATTTAATGAAGTACATATCAACTCATTAATATTAGTGTGTCTGCAAAACTCTAATGTAGAGAAAAAAAGGAGAGATATACACAGTCATTAACATCTATCATCATCATGAAAACATTTGTTAACAGGAATCACCTTGCTGACAAATTATTCATTAAGCATTCCAGTGGGGACGTATTCCCTTTGCGCGTAATACATCTACTGTATTTAAACTGACTACTTCAGAATAACACTAGCCTGATAAAATAGACTTCGAGACACATTTGTTAAAATCATTTGCCAGTTTCTAATTTATTTTTCACTTGATTAGGGGAAGAAGAACTTATTCTATCTAAAATCTAATTTTCAGATGGCAGAAGTTCTAATCGAAGGTGGTATAAATTTCTTAATGAGACAGGTGAAAATAATCGAATATTACTTTATACTCTATGATTATATACTTTAAAAGATATTCGTAGATTTGTTTAGAAATGTTAATATCAAAAGAAAAAAGTGGTCAGCTGGTAGAGAAAGCAATTCCAGCTCAAAACAGTCATTGAATTTAAAGATACACTTACTTATTTTGCATTAGGCTGAGATTGATGTGACTAGGTAAATGGAAATGCTGCCAACTGGATTACGTCCTCAGCAATGAACCAATGCGTCTAGCTGACTAACTGACTGAGTTTCAACATAGAATTCACCTACTGATGTAAAGCAGTTTAAGTTGCCTTACTCCATAGGTAAGTTAACGAAAGAAAATAGGGATTCAGAGATTCTCAAATAAACAGAAATATGATGGAGAAGGAATGGTAACGTGTGAAAACATGTGGGTTTGGTGGATATGGGGAGATCACAGAGACTATATGTATCTCAATCACTAAGAGTTATTTCGGGCCACATCTCCAATGGTCTCTAGTGAATGGGTCTTAGAATCTCGAGGATTCCGGCCAGACAGCCTATACCTTCTTACTGGCTTAAACTTACTGTCAAAGGGTTCATAGATTGACTAGGGGTTTCGGTTTTACCTCTTCTAACTCTTTTCCAACCCAACCCAATATCGGCTGATAATGCTAGTATAGGAACGCGACGTCTCAGAATGCCCAACAAATGGCCTAGCCATCTCAGCCGATTCACCCTCCCAACCTCATCGACTGACTTACCCCTTTTGACTATCACCCTATACCTAACCTCGACATTAACCACCATATTATACAAATTAACATGGGAGACCGAATGCATAAATCCATGGTAAAAGACAACTACCCTTTTCATATCTTCCCCTTTCAATGGCTATGTCTCACAGCCACATGGAGAGGACGGAGATAACTGCCGAGCATTACAAATGTAATTTAACTGATAACCGGACTGATCAGGTCACTGATCAGTCCATTAGGGCTGACGCAGTCTCGTAAATAAGTAAAGTGGTCAACACACCCTGCCAATTCACTCCCTATCTTTAGGCTAGGAGTCAGTGTAGTCCTGGAACGTCATCTCCTATGTGCCCGAAGTCCGAGTTCTGCTTCATGTAGCTCAGTCAGGGTAAGTGAGTCACCCAACACACATTATATACATGTTCTAGGGAAAACCTGTTTCGTGAAACTGAGTCCTGACCTGAGTCGAACATAAAATGTCACTTTATGGGTTTAAACTACACTGAGACATGATTCCAGAAACAAAAAAAGAAATAGATATCGGCAGTTCATGTATAATCCTCATCCAGGCATTAATGAAAACAAAACACGTAGATCAGCGAAGAGTCTCTTTTCGGCGAATTCATTTTCTTAGCTGTACAATCGCAAATATATATGTGTTATTAAGTTTGTCAAACAAAAATACAATTGGTTATAGTTATTTTAACTAAACAGGTGAAGATTGGTAATTGGAGTTACGTAATACAAAGTCAGTCAAGAAAATTAGGTGTTAGTGAAATTAGGGTAGTAACAAAGGTGATGAGTCTTCACAAACAGTTGTTAAAAGAAGTTATGTAATAATATGAATAGTTTGATGAGTGAGTTTTACTCAGGATGCACATAGGAACAAAGTAGATAATACGAAATTGCGTAAGAGTTCTAAATGAATACAAGAATTATAAGTAATTAATGAACAGGCAAAGAAACAAAATTAAGTCATCAAAATCAAAAAAGTCGTTACCAAGACAGTAGAAGTGGTTGAGTAATCCTCTTTTGTATGCACAGCTCCGGTTTTTCTATGCGGATGGCCAGAGCTTCAGCGATACAAAGAAGACAAAACCGTATTGCCTTTGATAGGTTGTTCTTGACTCTGTAGATTACTTTGAAGGAAGCGTTTGTTGAAATGGTATGATAAGTGTTTACCAGGTGTTCTTATTGCACCACTATTGACTTTTCGAAACCATGCTGGACAGTGTTCTTGAAACCTCTTGGACAGGGTGCGCATCGAACGACCGACGTATCTGGCTCCACAGCAGCAGGTGAACTGATGTATGCACATAGAAGTGGACAGATGCGGGATCTTGTCCTTGAGGCTTCTGCAGATCAGTGGGCAACTGGAGAACACTATTCTTAGCGTTGCTGTAAAGAACGTTCTTCTAAGAGATGATGTGATCCTTCTCTTCAGAATATCGCTTGCTAAATCTCCCTTGAAATCCAAGTTCATGTAGAGTTTCTTTTTTGGCGCAATTAAAGTTTCGTTTCTCCGAATTCTTGGTTTGATATTTTTGTCGATGAATCTTATTGAGTATCCATTTTGGATGAAAATTTCTCTTAGAATATCTACTTCTGTTTCCAGAACGTCGGAACTGCAGATGCGTCGGATGCGGGTGGCAAGTGATTTAATTAAACTTCGCTTTTGCTGAATGGGTACCCAGCTACAGAAGCTTGTTAGTTGACCATTCCAAGTAACTTTTCTATGGATCGATCTTCTAGGCTCCCATCAGTTCTTCTTGTTAGTTCCACATCAAGAAACGGAACATGTCGCTAATAAATTAATAAAGCGTTAACAGAAGTTACAGCATATATCAACTAAACAAGTTATCAAAACTGTGCTCTGTTCTTCCGAAGATTAAAGTATTTCGGGAGGTTTCTTATAACACATAACTTAATTAAAACTGATGCGAACAGATCTACTTATGTTCACCAGTTAGCTCCATGACATTAATAACTTACGTATACATCTGCGAGTTCTTTGTTAACTATGATCTGTAATGTGGCTTTTAATGGTACGAGGTGAACATTTAAAAGAATAGTAATCAAGTTAAGTATTTTATACTTTAATGTGACACACCGGGTAATAAAAATATGTTATCATCACTATTTTCGCTATATAGTACTATACTACTAACAAACAATAAGTAGACATACACGTAAAATCGATTTACTGATTCCAGGCACAAAATATTCTGAATTTAACCAACAACAACTGGGGTATTTTTGTGGTATACTTCATATTGGAAACTAGATGCCGTTTTATTCAACTTTTGGTATCATATACACTTCTTAAAGGTCAA